ACTAGGAATCGGTGGTAGATCTTACATCCCGTAACATACCACGAAAAGGTGATCTACCCACGTTACGGGGCATTTGTCCTGAATAGATCAGACACGAACCAATTCATAACTTTTACATGCGGCTTATCTAAATATTTCCCGCGAACACGGAGCCAGATGTGAGTAGTGTACTTTGGTCTGAAATTTTATTGCTTTTGCTATGGTCATTCATGTCGGTTTGGCAACTCTAAGACCAGAAGGTCCCAAAGAAACGTGCTCAACATTTTGGCTCAGCTCTGGTACTTTCTACGGTCCGAAGCTAATCGATGCACCACTCAAAAGATAGGAAAATCCACGAATCTGTCAAACTTTCATAGCGAATCAAAACAAACATAGTGTAGTACTAGAATTTTGACTAGAATGGGGACCCTAATAAACAAATACCATAAACGAACTGTATCCCGGATGAGTAAACTATCCCATAAATGGTTTGGATGATACCCCGAACACGTCGTTAAGCTCTCTTTTATGGTTTTATTAGGGGAACGTTAATCGATTTGCTTGGGACCAATAGGTTAGTCAAGTAGTGAGCCAATTTTAAATCGTTAGTTTCCACCTAACACTAAATAGTACACCGAGTTTTCAGTACTGAAAATGCAAGCCGTTTGCAATAATGGATTATTTTCAGCCTTCATTTCTATTTCGTCGGGAATACCACAGGGTTTGATCAACCGGTGGAAACTAACGATTTAAAATTGGCTCACTACTTGACTAGCCTGTTGGCACAAACGAAGTGACAGACGACTAGCTGGCGAAGAAATCAATTAAAATAATGTGGTTCGCTGTAATAGAATTTTCATAGAAGCTTGTGCCATCATCCACTAGATGGGATACTATTTTTGTTTTGGTTTAGCACAAAGTTGATTTTGTGTACAATGATTCTTTGACAGTGTGCAAAGAGTGTATCATTTTTTTGTCATTTTTTTGGGCATTTCAGTTTTGAGTAGAGTGAAAGAGATAGAACCAAAACATTCTAGTACATTTGGTGAAAATGCTAGTTCAATCCAGTAGTAGCAACAATCAATACGAAACTAACGATTTTAAATTGGCTCACCACTTTAGTAGCCTATTGGTCCCAAGCAAACGATTAACGTACCCTATTCTAGTTGAAATTCTATTACTACACTATGTTTGTTTTGATTCGCTATGAAAGTTTGACAGATAACATCAGGGGTGTGTGGATTCATGCAGAACATGCAGGGGTGAGTGAAATAGCTTGGGACTGCTTGGGACCGTTGTTCTGGTACTGAGTGAGCCAAAAATAATAATGATTTTTTTCGGGACCTAGTGGTCTTAGAGTTACCTCTATGGTAGTAGTGTTGCCATGTGGTACAATCCAGTAGTAGTGGTGTTGCCATGTGGTACACTGAAAAATTGCAATAGCAGGTTAGTCACCAAAGTTTTCGTCTGTCACTTCGTTTGTGCTGTTGGTCCCAAGCAAATCGATTAACGTTTCCAATTCTAATCGAAATTCTAGTACTACACAATGTTTGTTTTGATTCGCTATGAAAGTTTGACAGATAAAATGAGGGGTTAGTGGATTTTCCTATGTTTCGAGGGGTGAACCGATTAGCTTGAGACCGAAGATAGTACCAGAGCTTAGCCAAAAAGTTGAGCACGTTTCTTTGGGACCTTCTGGTCGCAATGCGTCCGATCCGTATCTAATGTGCGTGGGTTTTTAACCTAGCCTGCTCTTTTCTTAGTGTGGACACCAAGATTAAATTGTATAAAAGCTTGCTTTTCCTCACTTCTTTGCATGCGATTTTCTTTTATTCGACGTTTCGGCCATCGATATGTCTAGACTACGAGTTGCACTTAATTCTTGCGTACGCTATGTTTACAACCTGAATAGATTATCAAGTGTTTTACACCTGCAGCATCGACTCATTGGTTGCCTCTTTGACATTGGCGTAAATAGAGGGGGCCGGGGGGCCTGTCCCCCCAGGCTTTGGGTTGCCCCCCCCCCCAGAAAATTGGAGAAATAAATACCGGAGCAATTTATTTTCCAGATTATTCAGAATAAATTTTGCTGTGATTTTAAATTGCTTAATATATTGCATATTCATGGTTGATAATTGGTTCTCATCTTTTATTTATTGTTTCGTTGATTCCCTTTAGTGTAGAAACGTTATGCTTTGATGACGCTTGGTGCAGTAACTAACTTTTTAAATTGGCATACCGTTACTGCAACTTCACTCTTCATAGACTTCTCTGACACCGTTGGTATTAGTGAGCAAAAAAACCCGCTGTCGGATCAGACATTTTGACAGTTGATTTTGTGGTTAAAAAAATAAACAAAATCGTTTTTACTCTGTTAGACTAGCACAATTGTGTTAGTGAGATCTCGCGGCAAGAAGTCTATGTCATCCAATGACGTTTATATAAGGTTCGGGCCAATAGGCAGCTTGCTGATGTTAGAAGCAAAAATATTGTAAGTAATCTCCCTCCCCATACTACCGATGGTTTATGTCTTGTCAGCTAGGGACATGGCCACCTCCAACCCAACATGGTAGTTACGCCTCTGCTCTTTGATAAATTCGGTCAAATGAGAAGCTGCTTGTTTCTGTTCAGTCTTGCTACCACAAAACAACCAGGTTATTTGTTCAATCAATTGGAGTCTTTCAGAAGCAATCGATCGAGGAAGTACAAACTGCTGCGCTTCAACACTTCAAGGTATGGAAAAATTCTTTTTCGTTAGAGGCGTGATTCATTGGAATTTACTTCCCAACGATTTACGATTAGAAAGATCTTTCTTAGCATTTAGGAGGAGATGTATTGAGTACTTTTAACAAAATCAAAACGTAGAATTACTAAATAAAAAAAATATAATGAATTAACATTAACTTGACGCCTTGAAGTGACGCCAATTCTACGTAGAAAAACATTTGTAAAAATTATAAAAAGGCGAATGTCTTATGTTACTGATTTGTATTGAATAAATAATAATAATAATAAATCTGCACGCCGTGCATACTAAAAATTGCTCAAATGTAATTTAGCACATCTAATGGAGTAAAGTGAAATGAAACGATCCGAAACGGAGCGCAGAATCAAAATAAACCATCCAATAAAGTTAACAAAAACTCCATTTTCTGATAGTAATAGGATTACTAGAAGTTCAAATTAAAAAAGAACTCCGTTAATATGCACGAAGTGTCGTTCAGGTTGACGGGGGGTCCACGGTATCCCTATGATGATTTCTAGCATTCAGAATCATAAGGCCCGTTTCTGAACACTAGAAATCGTAATATTTATTTATTTATTATAAAATTGTTCGTTTAGTTTTATTACTATTACTGTGGACTCCCGCTGATCTGAACAACATTTTATGTATATAAACGTCTTTTAATTGGAACCTCTAGTTATGACCTAATTAAAAGCTATGAGCTAAAGAAAAGCATGGTTCTTATTTGCTGTATTGTTTTAATTCTAAATACGGTTTACATTGAACGCTCAGTTCAACACGCAAATGCTTACCACTAGAAGGAGTTTATGTTTGATTGTCAAATTTAATTTGACATCCAGATGCTTTTAAATTAGGTCAAGGCCTTACTAACGAGCCCCAACGAGCGAATCTCCGCTGTACAAGGAACTCATTTTCTGAGAAATATTGATTATTTTGTTTCCGTTTGGTAAGGGCTGTTGCTAAATAGTTAGATTTTGAGAACAATCCAGCTCTAAATTTTGTCAATATTTAAACACATCCCAACATTATTAATCATCATTTCAACCGTTGCCACTTTGTGCAGCATATATTAATTTTAGTATACAACAAAAATTAAACAACCTGAAAAAAGCTTTTTCTATTTTTGTCAGCTTTTTGTCCTATATAAACTCCTCTGTGCGGTGGGCAGATTAGCGGGGTTCAAATTAAAAAGCGTCCAGATTAAAAACGGTCATATTAGCGTGTTTCTACGGTATATAAAGCTGATTAACCATAATTTGGATCAACCTCACTATACACTTAATATGTATTGCCTAAGTGCATGTGTATTGTGACGCATGTTTTGTTTTGACGTTCGTAGAAATTTTCTATTTCACGCTCGTTCGAGGATACTCAAAAATTTGTTGGAGTTACTCATTTTCATATCTTCTTCCGGACGTTTCGGGCATGAGTAGTTGGGATTTATAAATTTGAGTAGCATATATCAACTCAACAAAAAATAAATATGCACGGATCTCAATTTTAAGTTCTCAGCTCGTTAAATAACTAAATTGTGAATTGTATGATTGTGAAAAAGTAATAACACGAAGTTTATCTTTCCGTTGGGTAAAACAAAATTTGAAACTTTCGAAAGTAATCTTGGAAAAATAGAGCAGACTGCAGCGGTAATGGATGCGGAAACGTATCGAAATTTGAGAGGCAATTTTTTTTTTATCTCGCTTAACAGTGTCCCTCAACTGCATATCGCATGCATTTCTAAACCAATGGATGCTGGAAAGCTCTACTAAAGTTTTCCGGTCTTTGGAATCAAAGTACCTAATGAACTTACAATGTTGACAGATTTTCTGGCTATTCATAACATAACGCTGAAACACAGCACATGAATGACGGTCAACAGATTCGCTCCTCATTTAAAGAAGCAGCACATGCTGAAGATCAAGAATGAGATGACTGCTTTTTTTTTAATTTGCTACTCTTATAAACATTTTATAAAATAAAACTTCTTGTTTATTTTAAACTCTACTGAATGTTTTTCATTTTTAGTTTAAATCCTACAAAAGAAAAAAAAAACGATTTTTTACAAATTGGCATAATTTTTGGCATTTCAAATTTTTTTTCGAATTTATGGAAATGAGTAGAAATTACTCTAACAATTACTCTAAAATTAAGTTCTAGCAAAATTACTCAACTTAGGATAGATCCGGATTTAATAAAATTGAATGGTTTCCACTAAATTTTGAGGAACTCCAAACGAGCGTGTACTCTGTTCATTTATTTCAAACGCAGCAGTGCTGTGAGGAAAATTGAATTGAGCAAAGGTGTTTGTGGATGGCAGTGATTGAGTGAAAAAGGAGAAAAATCGTGAATTTCGTTAACATTTTCTTGCATTTTTGCACCTGCTCAAGTTTGAGAAACTAGTCGCAAGTGAATTTACGAATCAATTTTGTAAGGAGTTCAACAGAAAGGTTTGAAATATAGTAACGATTGGCACTTTTACTGTGATTTGTAGCAGACAGAAACAATGGCAGTAGCTCCTGTAATCATTCAATCCGCCGCCAAGCACACTTCTACGGTAATAAAATTAATTTTCTCAGCTGGTTTTTGCTGAAGTCGTGATCATCAATCGATAAAAGTAATAACCAGTGTGCACAACAACACGTTTCATTTGTTTTCTAACTTTTACAGCTCATCTTTCTGCATGGACTAGGTGACACCGGGTAATTATAGTTCGCTATTATCTTGGTTGTACAATCTTTTCGCTCATATGTTATCATTTTCCAATCACATCACTGCTTTCACCCCTACTTATTGCTCGTTGAAAACAGTATAACATACCAAATTATGTAATTTTCATAAGTAGTGTGTGAAATGACACTTTAGGACATCATATTGTGACTTCCTTTTCAGCAACTATTACATAGGGGGTGAAACCTAGTGGTGACAATAAAAATCAATAACGTACTCTCAGCATCATTGCTGTGTTTGCAGCAGCCAAGCGAAATTGGCGTAACATCACTGACGGTGTTTTACAATTGGTATCTACTAAGGAATGTTTTTTTTTATAGTGTTCGCAAAAAATAGCCCCAATTTTTTTCATTTCTTATTTTATTTGCACTGAACTGAAATATGTAATTATTATGTGTCCAACACAATTATAGATTACTGATATGGTTGCAAATAAATACCTTTTGAATTAATACTCTAAATAAGCCTTAGTTGAAAAATTCTGCACAAAATACCAAAAAATATGGAAGAATAAGAATTTTCAAAATCTTCACACAAATACATGTTTTTGGTAAAAAAAATGTTGAACAAATCGTTGAGGAATGTGGAGCAGTTTCGCCATAGGGGTATTATGGCCATCCTACTAAAACTCAACTAATATTGTGTATATTTTACAATAATATTATGTAAGCGTAAAATTTGAATCGTACTAGGCTAGAACTTTGGTTCTCTCAAGCCATGGTTCATCCAGAGACGGAAGGCTTCACTGCCACGACATGAGCTAGAGATGCCATAAACTCACCGTCTCCAACACTATATTATGACATGAGATTAAGCCCTCCCACCAACGTGAAGGTGCAAAAACTAGCCATGGGGAGGGAACTTCATGTTCGGTATGCACTTGAAAACGTAATTCCTTAAGTTTGTTAACAGTATCCTGATATTTTTTCCCATAAAAAACGCCGTGTCATCGATTATCTATATGTTGAGGCATTAAGTGTACTCGTTGCATCGAGAATATGGAATCGTTGGATACCTATACTGCCTATAATCGCATATCAGTCCCATATGGATTTTCGTCAATTTTGACAACGCTATCCAATATCATCTATTGGTATCTACTTTTGTATTAGGTGCTAAAATAACGGACTTTGATTATGAAAAATGTGAAAACAACATCAAGTCAGTTTGTCCCATAAAGCAAAGTAATTGCAAATAATCCTGAAATTTCAACGTCCAGAGGTATAGTTACAGTTCTGCTTTATGAGTTGTAATATTTTTCGTAAATATAACAAAACATGCTAGCTTCATTGCGGTTGGATTTAACTTGAAACAATTATAAATAAATTTACCATGATTATTCAAATGTTTATATGGGAATTGCATTTCGTAACTTTGACTGTCATTTTGTAAATGTGTGCTAATGGGCAGTATACTGCCGCTCTTGGCAAGTCCGTCCCATAGCACAAAACAGCAAACCGAGAAAAACACATTTTAATAGCGAATTCGTTTATTATCGGGGTTGGAACCAGTTCCAACCCAGTGCGAAACTCAACCTGAGCTAGGTTGTAAAAACAAACGAGCAAACTGACGTTTGTCAGAAAACAAGCAGACCCAATCTTGATACCCGATCCAGGTTGGAACTGAATAATAAAAGAATTCGCTATAAGTTTGCTTTGTACCATTAGGGTAGAGCACTACTTCGTCGTAATCGCCCATTTCCGTTCTATCGATCAGAAAAGGTCAATAATATCAATGATTTCACCATGCACAAATCAATAATATGTTTGTTCCGATGCGTTAGTTCATTAGCTCCAACATAAATCCTGTTAGAGCGCATTTTATGAATATTTAGGCTCATTGTTCTCAAAACAAAATAAGCGCTCCTAGCAAGGGGGATTTTCAACGTTTATCCGTAGAACGAAGAAAATCTAATTGAGTTTCAATTCGTTAGGTCGGAATTGAAACTCGTAGAACGAATTTAGAATCAAGAAGCAGTATTAGATTTTAAACAATATCTCAACAATTTGTCCAAAGGTACGTATGGAAAGGTGAAAAAATTTAGAAGTCATCTTTGAGAGAAATATTCAATTTTTTTGTTTAAACTCGTTCAAAAAAGAGATGTAAAGCGTGGGTTTTGTTTAGTAGGACGGAAATTTGGCTATTTTTCCAAACTTTTCTAGCCCAAAGTTTTTTTTTTTTTTTTTTTTTTTTATTATAGTCACTTTAACACTCTTGGGTCATTCGTGACTTGTCCGGGGGTGAGATTTGAACTCGTGACTTTGGCGTGAGAGGTAAGGATGTTAACCACTACGCCGGGGTCGCCCCCAGCCCAAAGTTGTTTATTTGTTCCAGTATTATGAAAAATTGAAAACCTCAGTTTTGGCAAAAACTCAAATGGGATCGACTTGCGAGGAGCAGCAGTGTACCTAGTAGTTTAGCTCCTTATGCAACTGTTAGCAGTATATGGGTTTATGAAGCATTTTTGATTAAATGGATTCATTCAAATATGTTCATGGGGTGTAGGTTTTCTTCGAAGTTTTCTTGAAGAAGGATTTTTTAAATGGTTCCTTAAGCCTGGTATGCAGCGGAAAAGAAAACAGAAAAGTATACTTTAAATGGTTCCTCAAGCCTGGTATGCAGCGGAAAAGTATTTTTTGATGATTATTCTATAAAGTAGATTTGACAGCTGGTATTTTTTTTTTTTCTAAATTTGAGATCATAGCGAGGTGCCGTCAAATTTTAAAATAAACAATAATTAGTTTTAATGTTGTTAAAATGGATACATAAGTTTTGCAACAAACGTCAACATTATCTAACGGAATAATTGATCAGATCATTATTCTGCAAGAAAAGTGAAACATCATTCGGAAAGTGCCACCTTCATCTCGATCATGATACTAACGTAATCGATCTTTCATTTACCGATTTCTTTAGAACTGCTTATTGGGTCTAAAAATGCTAAAGGAAAATAATGTCTTTAGCCTTCCGTGTCCTATTGGCGTATTACAGTGACACTTTTGCGAGCTTTTGCATGTCAAAGTAACAACTACTAGACTGCCTGTGGAAGCATAACTGTCCCATGTTACTTTTATGTACGTCCAAACGAAGCAAAGGGCAAGTTAGGCGGACTGCGGAACCGAAATGAAAAGTCACCGTTTTTGTTGTACTTCCAGAGTAAACTGAGCTCAGCTCTATGTATTCAATGTGATTTTATGCAGCCGGCCGTGCTGCCAGTTTAAGGTTTATAATCATAGTTTCGTCAATTGACGTTTCGTATGTCGTGAAATGTGCACGTATACAACAGTTACAAAACACAAAAATGAGAAAACTGCAGTTAAAGTTTGAACAGACGTTTTGCTGCTATCGTAAAATTTCACGGGAAAAATTGGTTCTACTTCGAAAAACTGACGTATTATATCTATTCCATAGAATGTTTGTCAAAATTTTGCAAAAAACGAAATTTATCCATTAAAGAATCTTCTGTGACACTTATGCCGCGAATTTCTCTGACGAGTTGAAAAATGTACGCACATCTGTCCTACTGTGAACAACTTCTCAGTTACTGCTGTTGTTATGTTTGAAACTTCGTGAGTGACGGTTGGAGTTTTTTTCTTAAAATTGTTGATTTCACAGAGACACAGGCAAATGAATGTTTCATCTACCAGCTAGTATTGTTAATTTGGATGGGTGAGCATTTATTGGCGAGATATTGAGGGCTAAAGCCATTGTTTACAATAGAAATTACGTCCCTTTGAAATGTTGGCACTGATTTAATTGTGGGCCGGAAACGTCTGCCATAGACTATTTAAAGCAGTACGGTATATTAGTCTTTAACGAGACAGCCAATGACATTCTCAGTTGTTTTTTTTTTCAGAGTAATTAAGAAGCATGTTCACCTTAACAAACTTACATTTTGGTTGAACAATTGCTCATCCCAAAACAAGAATTGGAATTTGTTTCAACACATCATCCTTCTGATAAACAGTACGGAAATTCAAGTTGAGCATATCAGGGTGGCCAGCAAACCGGAAAAACCGGGAATACCGGGAAATATCCGGGAATTTAAAAAGTGACCTGGAAAACCGGGAAAAACCCGGGAATTCGGTGAGAGAACCGGGAAAAATACAATACAATAGGAACACATTTTTACACCAGAATTTCAGAATAAACCATTTAAACAGATTGATCCTTTGCCAAATGAATATCTTGCTCTATTTGTTACCCGTCTTATTGTTCTTAGAATTTAATCACTCAGAAATATTGCAAATTGATTTTTGTCGTCTCAATTTCAGATGTAAAGTGCATGGTCCTTGAAAGAAAATATTGAGGATGCTGGACTTTGGAAACAAAAATGTGTAAAAATCGAAACTGAATTATTCTTTTCCGGGGTTTTAATTTTTTGTTGTTTACAATTCTTATGATGAATTCCAGAATTAACTTGGAATTCTGCTCTGAATTATTTTGAAATTGTTCTGAAATAAACACTCTGCGTATTAATAACCGTTGAATTCTTTTTGGAATTTCCTTGCAACCCCTTCTAAGAATTTGATTGGAGTCCTTCTTAGAATTCTCTTGAGTCTATCCGGAGACTTTGATTTCTTTGAAAATCCTTTCAAAAAATTTTATTTAGAAACCCCCTGGAGTATTTTAAAGAATTTCTTTCTGAATATCAGTAAATCCATTCAATTTTGTTGAAATTCTGTGATGATTTTTTCGTTTGAGGGTTGAAATTACTGCCAGAACATTCTAAGAACTCTGTTTCTTGTTGAATTCTGATCATAATTCTCTTGAAATTCTTCTTAAAATTCATCTGTCATTTTCCTCTCGATACCCATACAAATCTCCTCAGAATCACGTAGAAGTTTTCCGCAAAGTTTTGTTCTTCACGACTCGTTTTTAAATCTTCTAAAATTACCTAACAATTTAATTTAGAACTTGCATTCTTCTCCACAGAAATCCTTCCAACTTCATCTAACATTGTCTAGAGTTTTCATGTCAGAATAGTTCTGGAAATCCGCTCAGAACTTTTCCTTCAAAAACTGTGTGGGAATCTTTGTCAATATTTGTTTGAAATCAACACTTTGAATTCTTTTAAATTATACTAAAAATTCCAGGGTTTGTCCGCTAGATTCTATAGATTTTTATATAATTTGTTATAACCCTTAAAATGCTTCCAAGTCTCAGAGCATGACAATTATAACTACACGACTCAGAGATATGATTTTTTTTTTCAAATCTGTGACTTTGAATTTTTTTCAAAACCTCACTTTTTAATTATTTTTACTCTAAATCTTGCATCACGAAGATTGTTATTAATCACAAATTTTGAAAAAAAAAAGGCTCTAGTTTCAAACACTACTCAAATTTTATAGCCCCATAATCTTGGAAATTTTCTTAAATTACATTTTTTTATCTTTTCAGTAAATTTCTTTCAGCACGTTCAATTTCGTTTTTTGTTTTGTTGAATATTAACAACCGGGATTTTTTAAAGACTTAAACCGGGAAAACCGGGAATTTCAAAATAAAAATTCACTGGCCACCCTGGCATATACTGTTCAAGTATTTTTTAATCAGGCCATACCTTTAAAAAATGCGTCATGGCAAAGGTCTCCTTGTGGAATTGAAGTATATAGGAAAGCCTCTCTGTTGACAGTTGTCGTACCTGTTATTGGAGAAAACGAAACATCATTTTTAGTTGGTCTTCCGACCAAGCAACATGCTTCGGAATGATAGTTAATTAATAGTTTTTCAATACCAAACAATCATATGTGTCACGAAAAGGTACAAATAGGGTAAGGTGAGTTGATTATTACATTTTATAATTTATTTGTTTGTAAATAGCAACAGAACTGAGTATGATAGCTCAAGTTTTCCTAAATAAAAGTGTTAATGTGCTTACGACGTTATCGAGGCATCGCCCAAATAATTCAAAGATTAATTGTATCATTTGGGCAATCGTTTGGAGCTTGTAATATGTTTACGATGTATTATTTGGATATCAGACTATATTTTTTGAAGAATTTCTTATACATATTTAAAATTGGAGCAGTGGGACAGATATGCGTCAATTTTTGCAATGGGACAAAACGACTACACATTTTTTTATTTTTTCTAGAATAAACAGCATGTTTTAATATAATATTTTTAAAATATGTATTGATTTATCACGTTAAGCATCATAACCTCAAAAAAATCGAAATGTCACATGGGACAGTTATGTTTCCACCGGCAGTAGAGGGATGATAGTTGATTTTGGAGGAAAATCGATTCATAAAGAAATACTAACGATTCCCTTGGAAACTTTTGCTTGTATCGCGTAGGCTAATCTTTTTAGGCAAACATATTGATACTCACAATTTTCGATGGAGCAACGGCGCCGGTGGTGTAGTGGTAAGCGTGATTACCTCTCACCCCAGCAGGCCTGGATTCAATCCCAGTCGGCGCCGCCGGAATGTTCTGAGGCATAACATCTCTGATCACGCCTTCCTTCGGATGGGAAGTAAAGCCGTTGGTCCCCGGTTCATGAGTTGATGGGTCGATAGGTAGGGTCCAGGTGTGGGAGCTGCCTTCCTGGCACGTCGGTAGCATTGGTGCTCAGCACGGAAAACAAAATCGACAAAAAAAAACAAACCAAAGGAAAAAAAAAATTCGATGGAAAACGCAACGGAACTTCATTTACTCAACCCGTCAATACTTAATTTTTCACTTTAATAAAGCTAAAAAAAAAACTTACTTAATTCAAGTAAGTCCAAGATCTAAAAATATTCAGTGTCTTGAAGTCTCGTATTCCATGTACAAGTTCAAGATATTGAAAATTTTCAAAGTGCCAGAATTAAGGAAAAAATAAATGATTTAGGTATTTCAAGTTTGTTATTAACTTTATGAAAGATTAGAGATCTTCATTGCAGTCATTAACTTCACAACAATTGTAGGACCTTTGGAGAAGTTCTGAGGAATGAAAGGAAATGCTGAGAATTTTAGTGAAGCTCCATAAACAAACTGCGGGAGCATAAGCTGAAAATATGGGGAATTCACTGGAAGCTTCAAGAACAGCAAAGCGGTTCTTTTAGCATTTTTAAGAAAAGCTAGATCTAGAGATGTTTGGGTAATAACAGATCACAGATCTTAAGGGCAGTATTCGTAACTCCAGACTATTGGAGCAATTTAAAGATCTATGTATAATCGTAAATTAAGAAACATTCAGGATAGTTCAATGATGTGAAAAGATGTTCCGAGAATTTCATGGAAGTACAGAGACCTTCAGAGAACTTATGAAAATATTTCAGATACTTCACAGAAGTCCAGAGGGTTTCAGGGAAATATAAAGGTGTTTACGGGAATTCCATTTATTTTCGAGCAGAACCGAGATCTTCAATAGAATTGAGAGCTTTAGGGAAGCTTCGAGAACATCAAGACAGATCAGAGGATCAAAGGGCAGTTGAAATAATTTCGAGGAAATTGAAGATGATAATAAAAAGAATGTGGACGATTTTCTTTTACAGTCTGACGTAATGCTACGTAGTTGGTTGATAATCCTGCAATATTCAAATACAAAATCTCTAATTTGCTCACATTACTGCTGGAATTTGGTTGTAATTTATTGAAATGTTAGCTACTTTTTTTATAATTATAGTTTTTTATACACCTGATATGTTCCGTGTATACCCGCGGAAGTGACCAGTTTCTAACTTGTGTCACAACCCATCGTATCAAATCACATGAGAAAAAAACAAGTGCAATCGTGGTTATATTAAGTGGACAGGACCACATTGGATACAACCGGATATGTTCCGAGTGCTTCCTGACCAAAATCTGTCATCAGCCAAATCATATGATAAATCTCTCCGTAGGTTTTTCTCCAAAAATCTACGATTTATCCAAAAAGTAATTGAGTATAAAACATTATGCTACAAACAGCAGCATTTAGCTGTGTCCGGTGTTTTTACAATCAAATTTCATCACTTGAAAGTTTAGTAGGTATAAGAATAATAATAACCATCTTCTACAGTCATGGATGGGCTACAACCATGGGCATTATCCGTACGCCGGACATGAAGGTCATTTGTCCGACAGCACCAACGATTCCAGTCACTCTGAATGCTGGATTCCGTATGCCATCTTGGTTCGATTTGCAAACATTGGACATTGGAGGTCCGGAAGATGAAGATGGCATCAAAAAAGCAACGAAGAATGTTCACGAGATGATTCGAAGCGAAATGCAGGTAAGATATGTTTGGATAGCTCATGCAAACTTTATCCCGACTCATCCATTTCAGGCAGGAATAGCGGCCAATCGCATCGTCCTGGGAGGATTCTCGCAGGGTGGTGCTCTTGCGCTGTACGCTGCATTAACCTTTGCGGAGCCCTTAGCTGGAGTAATGGCGCTATCTTGCTGGTTACCAATGCACAAGAATTTCCCAGGACTTCTGAAATGTCCAAATTCTGTGCCCGTGAGTATATATTGTATTGTTCTAACTAAAACCGATAAAATCTCACATTTCATTCAACGACAGATTCTCCAATGTCACGGTGACTGTGATCCAGTGGTGCCATACAAGTTTGGTCAATTATCATCGAGTGTGCTGAAGACATTCATGAAAAACTCACAGTTCCAATCGTACAGGGGTTTGTCACATTCGTCATCTAAAGCCGAATTAGAAGATATGAAGGTAAGCAAAAATTCATTGGTCACAGCATCAATGTGTTAATTATGTTTCTCCCTTAGACATTCATCGAGAAGCACGTTCCTCGTCAATAAATGGCCAGTTCAGTTCGCTCACATTCGATAGACGTGTGTAAATTTTAACTGTAATTTAAAAAGCAACATATTTTTCTAATTTATTTCAAAATGATAGCTGAACAAAACTAGGCAACAAAATATTGCAACTTTAAAACAACTTAACTAGCTTAGTCAAAATGAGTCAATCAGAGCGATAATTTTTCACAAAATAATAATCACTTATTAGAGTCGGCAAAATTAAAAATGTCACTAACACATGTTAAAACAACTACTTTTGCAAAACCAAAACGAAGCACGTGATAAAATCGTTGCGATTTTATAAAAAAAAAACCCCCTCTACTATGACAATGGCAACTACATATAAGCAAAACAATAAGTATTCCAAAACATTTAAGAAATTACCAATTGAGATTGAAATTATAAAAGCAAATGGCTAATAATTATTAGTAGTGATCCAACTTCAGCACTAAGTTTAATCAAGTATTAGTGTCAAAGATTCAAAGCTCATCAAACAGTTAATTTCGAAGCAATCCATTTTTCACTTCACTACCTCTACTCTATCTAGTAAATATTTTATTGAATTGTTACTAAAATCAGTGCACTCCCAATTATTATGTAGTCCCAAACTCTTATGTACAGAATCAGCAAGAACGTGAATAAAAGGGAAAGCAACACAAATCTGTTCTAACATTTTCAATTGATTTAGGTCGATTGTAAGACATTCATTTTTGATTCGATTACGAAAAATTTAGTCTGTCGGCTGCTAATAGCAAAAAAAAAACAAAACTATCTGTAGAGAACCGTTTGGAAGTTGTGTAAATTGAGGCCGTACTGGAATGATACTTGTGAAGGTAGAGTGAACAAAATCAGCAGATTGAAATATATTTTAGTTTAACTAAAACAATTGCCTCCTAGTTATAGGTATTATCCGAAAACACATATAACAACTATAGAAAGTCTAGTTACAGACATTTTTTTCATTAATTTATTTGATTTGTTAAGGCTCAAACGAATTAACTTTACAGAGCCGAGGATTCTTGCTCACTATACAATACATCTATAGTTTTATAGTCAAAAGGTACAACACAATAAACACTTTATCTTCCGCTATCTAAAAAACCTCCTCCATCAGAACTGATGCCGTTTCCAGTGGTTTCATTGTATGGCAGCTACGCCAACGGGGGTCAGAGCACTTCGCTTGCAGCAATGGTAACGTTGGCAGCACTCACACACTCATCACTAAACGGTTGCTTTCCAAAGTCGACGACCCCTCGACCGAAAGAACTGCTAATGAAGAACAATGAGGAGGACCACACAATGGTTGCTGCCAAGTAAACAGACGATCGCGTGACACACATCGAGAGTGGCCTGCTTTTGTCGACAGCCGAGTGAACATTGATAGTAACAGACATGCAGAAGTAGATTTGACGCTTAAAAATAAGTGTATCCAAACGAGGAGAACGACTGTCACGCCTGCTTTTATAGGGAGCATTTCCAGGCTAAATTGAAATTTTAACCTTCTTACTCCACCAACCAGGCTAAGGCCTTGATGTCCTCTGCTGTCCGAAGAATTCGTCTCCACTCTACTCGATTCATGGGCACACGTCGCTAGTCTCGTAGTCTGCGAATGGTCCGCAGTTCGCTTTCTACTTGGTCGATCCATCTTGCCGGCTACGCGCCTCTTCTTGTTGCTGTTGGGTCGCTTACAGGAACCATTTTCATTGAGTCGTCGTCCGGCATTCTCACGACGTGCCCAGCCAACCGTAGTCACCCAATTCTCCTAGCAGCTGGTGTCTCCTCCGCGTTCCGTTATCCATCTGCAGTCCACCGTAGATGGTACGCAACACTTTCCATTTGAAAATACCACGAGCATAGTCCAGGTCTCGTGGCCGTAGAGGACCACTGGCCTAATCAACGTCTTGTAGATAGCCAACTTCGTGCGGCGGCGAATGTTATTCGACCGGAGCGTCCTCCGGAGTCCAAAGTAGGCACGATTCCCTGCCTTAATGCGTCTTTCAATTTTTCTGCTGGTATAATTTTGGGTGGTCACCAGTGAGTCCAAATACACGAGCTCGTCGACCACCTCGAATTCGTCACCGTCAATTTGAACTCGGGGTAGGAGGATAACATTGTCTTCCCTAGAAACTCTTCCTCTCATATATTTCGTCTTCGATGCGTTGATGGCAAGTCCAAAGCCTTTATTCTGATCCGCCATCGTCTCAAAGTTCCGTGCCATGATGTCGATGACATCGGTGAAATCAAGAAGCTGGATGGACCTCCTAAAGATCGTGCCTTCTAACGTGATGTTAAATAGCAGACACGAAAGTCGCCTTGCCGTAACCCCCTTCAAAGGGACTCGAGAGTGTCCCCGATACTCGAACAACGCACATCACTCAATCCATCGTCGCTTTGACCAATCGCGTCAGTTTATCCGGAAATCCGTACTCGTCATTATCTGTGATTTGAAATCTATGAACATATTATGTGTTGTATTCACGCATTTTTGCAGAACCTGCCGAATCGCGAAAATTTGGTCCATGGTAGCGCGTGCACCCATGAATTCCGCCTGGTATGTATTGCCCCATTGGTGACAGACGGAGGCATAGAATTTGGGAGACTACTTTGTAGGTGGCGCTCAGCAGTGTGATCGCGCGATAGTTGCAGCAATCCAACTTGTCGCCCTTTTTGTAGATTGGGCATAAGACGCCAGGTGTGGTGTATTGACTGTTTTCGGCAACCAAAATTTATACGATAATTTCCCAACATTTCCTCACCAGAACACATCGCTGAATGTATTCAAACGATTCCTTTGTCTTTCAGCTTCAATCTGATTAGGTTTTTACGACTGAGCAAACACATTTTGTCAGGTTTTTCCTGAAATGTAAAACCCTGTGAAACTTACTTGAAAATTCACGTAACTTTTAAGTGTTGCCAATTTGAATATCATCTGTAGATCCGGTAAAATTTACGTGAAAATAACTTGATTTTTATATGCATCATTTGACCTGGATTTCATTCCCAAAACACGTAATATTCACCTGAAAAGTAAGATAGAAACTATCTACGTACCTTTTAAGGTGAATATTACGTGAATTTTATTTGCAGTGTGGTAGATTAATTTAGAGAGTATTGCAATCGAACAGAAATTCAATCACCTTAATGTGTGCTCGTGTGCTTCTCAAATTCAACTAGTTTTTTGAATAAAAACAATATTCTAACTCTATTGATTAATTGATCTTAGTTGGTTAACTAATAGCACCAAGAAATGTGCAAAATATTGCCATGCACTCAATTATTATTTTGCACGCAAATCGAATCAATTTCTCCGCCCATCTCTCCCTCTGAGTATTTCTAGGCTGTAGGGGATTCGCGATACTAATAATATTTAAATTGATCGTTAAATGCGTGTACAGCGATTTAGGAGAAACAGTTACGTTTGTTTAGCTGTGGGTTCTCCATAATCGGCGATTTCGGACAAATGCAAAACCTTTTTCAATGTAAGTTTAATTCAATTAAAATAATATAATCAAATAGTAACCGTTCCAGTTGGAAAATCAGTCAGTTCTTACCTTAATAGTTGCAAAACGATAGCAACGTGACTTAGTACCCCTTACGAGAACCTTGAACGTTCCCTTAGAACATGTCTTAAATAACTTCTCCAACCCCTTCGCCGTTACGTATCCTAAGGCAACGACCTTTGCTTCTGACAGACTAAATTGACACTGAGTTATGTAACCAAAGCATTCTCTGCTGCACTGCTTTCTGATGCTTTCAGGTTTTGCTGGAAGCCATAGTTCCCGCATCTTAGTCAATTGGTCCCTGATGAGTTTAACGTTTTGAGGTTTTGCTATCCGTATCAAAGTACCAGGAGTCATTCTTTGAAGAGCCTTCTTCTTACGGATCCTTCTGCTTCGCAATTTTTTCAACTCTTGCAAATGCTGGCGACGAAGCTGATGTCGCTCTCTTTGCTGCAGATCTTTACAAAGCGGTTCAGTATATACTGGACTGGAATCATTCCCTTGCTTGTGCTGTTTGTTCTTTCTAAAATCCAAGCGATGGGGTAGACAGATTAAAGCATTGTCACCTGGATTTCCCCTTGTCTTCATGCTTAAATACACCGGAATAAGCGAAGATTGTGGTACCTGGGCAGATTTCAAATTGAACATACGATTTAACGCAAGCTGGATTTTGCTCAAAACTTCCTGATCGCGCAAGACATAGAAGTTGCAATCTGCCACTCGGACCCATTCCGATACCAACTGATCCCAGAGACACCGAAACGGGGATGCGATAGCCAACTTCTTGTAATTTATACGTCGATTGTTTGGCTTGGCGAAATATTTATTCCAACATTGTTCGTACTCCAGCGTGGCTTCACTTTGCCCTGCAATGTTACAGAAAAGTAATTTTTAAGAATTAGTTAATCTCTTTAGTTTATATTATCTTTATGTGCTGCTCACCTAAAATTGTATCCGGAACTCTAGTAGTGTCGATCCCAGATTCAAGAGCTTGCATATCAAACTCTTTGAGTCCTGCCGGTTTCGCTCCCCACAAAATCAACGTTTGCCATATAGCTAGACCGTACCCGGAAGGAGCAATCAAATCCCATCCTGCTCCATATCCAAGCTGCTTAAATTCACTATCTTGGGAACCGGAGTTTTGCATAAGCAGTATCGGAATCGGTTGAATACTCTTCTCGGAGGAGCATCGTTCACCTGGAACTAAGCTCTCTTTAGTTCTGAGAAGGTTTAACTCATGCGTTGATAGCATTTCCTCTGTTATCCTGTTGCGGATTGACTCCGACCAGATAGGAGAGTATGTCAAACGGATACCGGTGTCCAGTGATGCACGGCAAGATGCAACGGTAGTTGGAAGCGCTTTTGTACGTTTTTTAGGTCGATTGAGTCTAGGGTCTTCCACTAGCAGACCAACAACCAAACCAGAACTGAGCTCTCCAGGGGATGTTAGATTTTTGGTTTGCTCCCAGAATGAACTTTGTTCGTTCAGTGTCTTCTGATTGTCGGCTATTTCTATCCAATTCGAGAACCAATTATTCAGTTCTTTACTATCAAGTTGGCTGTAAGGTTTTAAAGCCTTGCTCAAAACGGCATGGGACAATGGTCCGGTCAGACGGAAGTAGTTCATGGTATCTTTCAATTCCGTGACTGATATCGCTGTAGATTGATTGCTGTATTTAGGAGTTCGCACGGTGCCATGATTTTTGGTAATTTTCGCTAAGTCAGGTGTAATTTCAACTTTCATAGGTTCATCGTTTCGATAAGCATTCTTCAAATCAAACATCAGAATCAACTCCTCTACTAGTTTAGAGTAGAATACGGGATGTGCAAACAGCCACAAAGTTTTTCTACCATCCGTCGATGGTTCGCTCTTCCAAAGAAATCTAACTTTTCCAATACACTGATTGGGGTACTTATCTTTCTCGAAAATCCATACGTTCCCGGATCTTTTGCCACCTAGAAAGGCTTTGGCCGCTATCGTCAAGCCAACTTTTTCGCTGCAAAATCTCTTTAGATTGAGTTTTAATGTATCCTCATCACCTTGAATTTCGATGCATCCGTAGTATGAAATATCCTGTAGAAGGCAGTGTTTCGCCGTTGCTCGATAGCATGCTCTGTATCCTTTATTAGTTGCTGTGTATGGGATCTTGTAGCCCCACTTGGCCGTCATGTGAAATCGCTTTGCATGCCAAATATGAGTTTCCAACCAGACATTGGACCGCTTACGTCTTTCGTACTCTTTAAGAAGATTTCTTGCTTTTCTCCTATACTTCCTCGATGGTCGTTTTCTCCGTTCCGGAATTCCACTCTTACTGTATTGGGCTAAATGAATACCGCGAAACTTTCTTGGCAGTCGCTTAGGGTTGTAGCTCATCGCTCTTCGGCGCATGTGAAGTGGCAGAGCTTGGTGCATAAGCATGGTCTGGTTCTCCGTACTCGCTACACTACGGAGCAAGGATTTCAACTCGGTGACTCGTTCTTCATTGAACTTCAGCGAATCAATATCGTCCGGCAGCTTCACCGGACCACCAACCGCTGCATCGTATTGTAACGATCCTGAAGCCATATTGTGTTACTACGAAATGAACGGGATATTACATTCTAAACGATGCTGTTTTATAAATTCTTACTGTGTTGTTTCTTGAAATGTAGCAATAATGCTCGAGGTTCTAATATTCAAAGCCGTTACTGCCTATTATTTAATATTCATTGCAGTTTTGTTTCTAAAATAAGTCAACCCACCGCGTGGGGTTGAATCAAGACTCCAAACAAACAAAACTTCAGTGCCAACATTCGAATAGGACGAAACTAAAGCCCTACAATAAAAGTATGGACGACTGTCACCACAAAACTGAAAAAAGCTGTTCCAATCGAGCAAAGCGGCCCGCATAAACGCGAACCATAAATTGACCTTACCTAAAATGGTTAAAAATTGTTTATAATCCCTGCTAAACTTTAACTGAAATGGTTATGGAACTTTACATGAACGTTTAATGATAAAGTTTCAACCTTATGTATTATGGTTTTTTGGAACTGGACCTTACAAATAATGGGTTGTTAAGAACCATTACCATTCCAAATTCTTGTTTTCTCCATACATTTTCAGAAAGAGAACTATATAAGAACGTTTTTACTTATGATTTGAGAACATTAATGGTAATGGTTATGGTAGTCAGTAAGGTCCATTATTGGTTTTGTATTATCGCTCAACTTTACGTGGAATATATTTTCCATAACCATTTCAGTTAAAGTTTAGCAGGGATTATAAACAATTTTTAACCATTTTAGGTAAGGTCAATTTATGGTTCGCGTTTATGCGGGGGTGCATTTTGACGGTTCGATTGGAACAACTTTTGACAGACGTCCATACTTTTACTGTAGGGCTTTAGACGAAACTGCTTTTGTAATAGCAATGAACTGGATTACTGAGGTGAAGCAATCGGTTAACTTGTGTGAGTAAAACCCCTGTACGATACAGCAATTAGTGACGTCACTACTTGTGTTTACGTTGATTTTTTGGTTTACTAAACAACCATATTTCACGATCTGCTTCACCTCTCTCTGTATCACATTGTTGTAATAGAGCTTTTTGACGTTTAATCGGCGCACACTATACTGCACCTTTTAAATCGAACGAGTGCGATCAAGAGGGAAGCAGATTAGTGGGAAAACAAACCGTTCATTCATCCATGTATGCTATAGGTGGATTCTGTTTATGTGTGGTCACATGAAAATCATGTGGAATTTTACATGGCAACTCGCCAATAAAAATGTGCGGATTCCTTTAGTGTACAGTTACCTCAAACGGTCAATTCAAAACAGAAAATTAAACGTACGCAACCTGTTTGACGAGTTTCCCGGTCGACGGTCAATGCTAGATCAACAATAGAAAAGGGCCCACCAGCATTTGTAATCAAACCGTTCCAAAGCCCTTTACTCACGAAACGAAGGCCACCCACGCAAACCAACAACATCATCAGATAGGGGAAACTTTTACCTACACGATGATGGTCTGAGCGTCCTTCGATTTATGAGGAATGGGCTTTGTTTACAAATGCTGATGGGCCCTTTTCTATTGTTGATCCAGAATGATCAATTTGGCGTTGATGGCGACTCTGTAGCTCTTTACTCCTATGAGAAAATTCTTTAGCAAACGTCAGACTGTGAGTGAAACTCAATGAGCTGGATTACCGAGGTGAAGCAATCGTTTAAGTTGTGTGAGTAAAACCCCTGTACGATACAAGCAATTAGTGACGTCACTACTTGCGTTTACGTTGATCTTTTAGTTTACTAATACAACCATATTTCACGATCTGCTTAACCTCTCTCTGTATTCATTGAGTGAAACTGGCAGACTTCGTACTATTCTTTCACTCTACCGAACATTCCCATAAGAACCTATTGACGAGTGCACGGATGAACTTGAGTTCACTCACTCGACAAAAAGTGACACAACAGCGGGGCCCTGTTTACTAAAAATGAACACATGAATAATACTCGCGTAACATTTGAAAAAAGCCTATCAACTTTTGTAAATAAATTACTAGGTCCTTTTCACGAGAACCGAAGTACGCCCACGCAAACCAAGAGCACTATGGGGAAGGGGAGAATTTCCTTTGCCCGATGGTGTTGGTAGTTTACGTGAGCGTATTCGGTTCGCGCGAAAAAGGCTTAACAAATTTTGTGTACATAAGTTGATAGACCCGTTTCAAATGTTACGTGAGTATTATTCATGTGTTCATTTTTAGTAAACAGGGCCCCGCTGTTGTGTCACTTTTTGTCGAGTGAGTGAACTCAAATCCATCCGTGCACTCGTCAATAGGTTCTAGCAATATTCATATTGACGAGTGCACGGATGGATTTGAGTTCACTCACTCGACAAAAAGTGACACAACAGCGGGGCCCTGTTTACTAAAAATGAACATATATGTGTTCATTTTTAGTAAACAGGGCCCCGCTGTTGTGTCACTTTTTGTCGAGTGAGTGAACTCAAATCCATCCGTGCACTCGTCAATATGAAGATTTTTCGACGGTGCCGTCAACGGCAATAATTTTCATTATAACAAGAGCAAATTTTCATTACGTCGAATGTAACAAAGGTAAACAAAGTCGAGCTATCAGTGTCAATCGATTCTCCTGCTATTACACTATCACCCCTATTCTGTATTTCGTTTCGAACGAAATTCTCATACAAAAAAATATTTTTTTGTATGAGAATTTCGTTCGAAACGAAATACAGAATAAGGGAGTATATACTGTCCGAATATAGGATCAAATCCCATTTTTAAATTTATTTACCAGTCAAATTGCTTTTTGACGTAATTACCTTCCGATCAAAATAGTTTTCGATGTTACTTAAGTCACCCAATTTCTATGGAGATGCCGTTTGACTTAAGTAACAGCGCTGAGAAACCCGTGAAAAGTGTACGTTCGTCGTTTCGCTTTCTCATTATTAAAGTGAATAAATCGAACTGTTTGTTGCTAAGATGATTTCGGTGGTCCGAAAATGATGAATGGGCTGCACGTAAGGAGACGTAATTGATAATTCTCCCGAATATCCTGGTAAATACACTTTGACTTATATAGGGGCCACCAAACGACGTATAATAACTTTTGACTCAAAAACCAGTATGTTTTAGCATGAAAGCTAGCGATTTGCATTTGCATGATTAAAACCCTGCTAAATATGTTAAACATTGCTATCACTATGAGATTATATGTGTTTACTTGGAAATAGGAATAACTTTTCGGTCATCAAAACCTCGATCAAAACAAAACTTTATTTTTCTCGGATTGGTGCGAATGTTACTTACGACATAATGAAAATTTGCTCTTGATAAACAGAATAAACGTCATAATATGGACCAACAGGTCTGTGCCATAAAAAAGGGAGAATAAACGTCAAATTTTTGCATTGTTGTCTGAAAATAAAGAGAAGTTTAACCGGAATTTATCAGTAAGTAATGTTTTCTTCAGACGAAACAATTATAATAACATGTTATACTTATAATAGTTATCGACAAGACAAATGTCATCAAGACAGGCTTATAACATGTTATAACTGCTCAGTCTGACCAGCTTAAAGTAATTTTAACTACATTTTCATGTACGATTTTCAGAAATCACTCCCCCGCAATGGAGTTTTCCATAACCACTGAAACATGCAGGGTTTGCTTGGAAAACAAACCGGAAAGCAAGCTACTCAGTGATCCTTATCCGGATAAAACAATGCTGCCTACCACAGCAAAACTAAAGCTTCAATGTTACCTGGACGTTTATAAATATGCAGCCGAAATACATGATGAACCAGCTTCAAAGCTGACCACGCCACCTTCGACGTCGCTGTTTTTCCCTAAACGAATTTGTAATGCGTGTATAAACCAGCTACAAGTGGCATTCGTATTTCGTCGTAAGGTCTTGAAATCTGAAAATGTTTTGAAAAATCTCCTTGATTTATATGGCCATCAGGATTCGGAAGAAACAGTAGAAGTAGAGGAAATCGAAATTAAACATGAGGACACGGTTGACTCCAATGACGAGGAGCAGGAATCGCAGGAATACGAGTACGTGGATGAAGAAGTAGAGGAATATTCGGATGAAAGTGATTACGAAGAAGTAGTTGAAAGTTCACCCGTGAATTTCAACGATGTAATTAACATGAACCAAGTAAGTTTGGATCGGCAACTGAAAAGTGCAAGCCTCAACTCGTTACATACAGTTTTAAAGCTTGATGCAAACCCACAGAGCAGCAGAAGTAAAAGTCCCTTGTTTAGAGGTAGACCCGTTATGAGTCAATGTGAAGATTGTGGAAAAATGATACAGACAAAATATTTGAAAAAACACCGAGAGAGACACCTAGAGGGAGGGAAGAAAAATAAAAGTTTTCCATGTGACTTATGTGACCGTCAATTTACTCTGAGAGAGAATTTGAGCAAGCATAAAAGAATTCATTCCAATGATAAAAGGTACACATGCCCATACTGTAAGGAGAAATTTCTGCACAGGGGCACTTGTAAATACCATATCTTATGTCGACATACAGGCGAAAAGCCGTATGTTTGTGAAATATGTGGTAAAGGTTTCCGCCATATATCTCAAAAATACCTTCATATTCGACAACATACGGGATTGACTCCTTATGCATGCGAAATATGCAATCGAAGGTTTGTCTCAATGCAAAATATGAAAAGGCATATGCTGTCACACACGGATGCCAAAAATTTCCACTGTAATGTGTGTGGAAAATCCTACAAGTCAAAAAAGTCGCTGCGGGTTCATACAAGAACATTGCACGATCAGGAAAGAAATTACGTCTGTGCTATATGCAATCAAGCATTCTCTCAGAATCACGTTTTGAGGTCCCACCAGTTGAAAAATCATCCTGAATACGAACCACCACCGCCGGGAACTATCGTCAGTATTCGGGCAATCGAGCGTATGAAGGAGCAAACCGCAACAATTGTAACTAATTCTATCAACGCCTCTGTAGGGAACAAACCTGGCGTATTGGTTAACATGCGTCCCTCTCAGGCTGAAGGTCATAAGCTCTAATCTTATCCCCAAACAAATCACTAATAACCTAAAAAATATTATTGAAAAAATAATAAATAAACGTCTGTATTTTAAATGTATGCTAGATGATATCATATAGTGATAAGAGTTCTAAGAGCCCCTTGATGTGCTGTTTGAAAGGTTGACAAATAAAAACAATTAGAGGCAGTTTGGTCATCACTTATGATAAATACTGTATTTGGCATTTGAAGCTTTACTCTTCAAAAGAGCGGAATCGCTTATAAAAGTGCGCTTCTACATTTTATCATCTTGGTGTCTTCCGCGCACTTATTCCTTATGAACCAATGAATAAGTGCGCTGAAGACACCAAAATGATTTAACGTAAAAGCGTACTTTAATAAACGTTTCCGCTCTTTTATAATTCGCGCAGTGCGTAATACCAAATTTAGCGAAAAAAAAAATAAGCGATTTTAAATCAACTGGATAGTTCTAAACCCCACGTACATCATAGATACAAATATAATACAAAACATGTATACTTTTGACTGACATTTTATGAAACAAATTTAAAAAAGGTTTTTTTTTTGTATCCGAAATACATGAAGCCAAAATACAGTACATTATATGCGATATTCCAAAATTTGAGTGCATTGAACTTAATTTTGCGTAGAAAAAATTAGCGAGTATTTTTTCCGCCGTGTAAAGGCCTGTATAGAGATCAAAGCGAAGCGAAAACCTCATACAAAATACTAAATTTTTCACCAGCGTGAAAAACGCAATTGGCAAATTTTTCACTTCGCTTTGAACTGTAAACAGATACGATCCAGCGAAATCTAATGTTGTGGATCGCATCTTTTTCGCTTACGTTTATTTTTTTTTCGCGCATGCAGCGCTCGCGAAAAGAGCAGCAGCTAAGCGAAAAGTTGACGTTTCGGGAGAGCGTATCTGTCAGATTTTCACTTCACCGGAGGTGTAAACTGATCGATTTCGTTTCACATGAACTATAAACTGCGAAAATAGGAAACTGGAAAATGTTCCACAAACATTTTTTCACAACCCTTTTCGCTAGCGAAATTTCATGATTTTTCGCGTGCTTCAATTTTCGTTTCGCTTCGATCTGTATACAGGCCTTAAGGGTCTAATAAAATATTTTATTAGTTTTTACCTCAATACCCCTAAACAACCCAATTAGGTGTTTCCTGCTGCTTCTGACAGCACGCATCACCAGAGGGCGAGCAACCTGCAATCGTATGGACTGGTGGAAAATCGACTTGAGAATGTATGGTGAAATTAGCTTTTAATTAAAAATATCAATAATGGTGCAATTTGTCCGATATATTATTTCTACATAATGTCACTATTACTCAAATATTCGAAATACAGAAATTTTCTTACTTCTAGAAGCAAGCTTTGATGAGAAAACGATGATTTTTCGAGAATCTTCATTCCGCAAAGCTGGTTTATCCACCACTTGCGGGCGACATCTGTCGGATTTGATTGTGGAAACTATTACTCAATTGGCTCACTACTTGACTACCCGCATAAACGCGAACCATAAATTGACCTTACCTAAAATGGTTAAAAATTGTTTATAATCCCTGCTAAACTTTAACTGAAATGGTTATGGAACTTTACATGAACGTTTAATGATAAAGTTTCAACCTTATGTATTATGGTTTTTTGGAACTGGACTTTACAAATAATGGGTTGTTAAGAACCATTACCATTCCAAATTCTTGTTTTCTCCATACATTTTCAGAAAGAGAACTATATATAGGCTTACCATATCAAAAACTTGAAAAGGAGGACATTTCATTTGAGGTTTGGAGATTAAGGAGGACAATGATGCCTTTTCTTAACATTAAAGGAGGACAATGAGTTTTTATCAAACGTTTTAATAATATGTGCGCTATCACAAAATTCATGATTTGCGAAGGTTCAATTGAGATTGTTCATAACTTGTGGTAGATATCAATTTAATTCATCTTCTCGTTTTACTTCTGAAAAATGCATCAAACTAGCCTTCATAATTCATGTTTGATACTTGGAAATGCTCTCGTCTAGCTGATTTGCATGAACACTGCAGCTTTACAGCCTTAAAACCATCCCAGCCTTTATCATGTACAAAAATCAGGATACATGTCATCGCGATTGAAACCAACATGGAACATCTTAGCAACCTGTTAAATTTACCAGAGAGTTTTTCGAACATTATAATTTATTTTCGAAATGTCAAATTTAAGTAACAATACAGAAAAAATTGATGAATTTTCACTGATTCTTCGAAAATAATATATAATGTTCGAAAATCCCTCTGTTGTTGATCGTCCGATTTTCGAGAAATTGATTGTCAAAATTTATTCCTGGTTTGTCTGAAATATTCAGGTTTATTTAAAAAAATTCCATCCGTCAAATTTAGATTAAATTCACGAAATGGATAGCAATCTTGACCGCAGCCTAAATGTGGGGAGTTGACAGCTGTAGTATACTCCTAGTCCCACCATCGAATGGCATTTGCTAGATAAGATAAAGTTGCGACATAATTAAACAAATCAGCTCTGCAAACAACGCTTTTTGAAAACAATTTTATTAATTTGTTACTGGAAATATGCAAGGATTAAAAAGGAGGACATTTTTGGGCAAAAGGAGGACGTAGAAAAATTATTGAAAAAGGAGGACATGTCCTCCTTTAGGATACCATATGGTAACCCTAACTATATAAGAACGTTTTTACTTATGATTTGAGAACATTAATGGTAATGGTTATGGTAGTCAGTAAGGTCCATTAATGGTTTTGTATTATCGCTCAACTTTACGTGGAATATATCGTGAATTGGTAATCAGTAAATTAAAGGCAACCAATTCGCGATATATTCCACATAAAGTTGATCGATGTTACAAAACCATTCGTGGACCTTACTGACTACCATAACCATTACCATTAAAGTTCTCAAACCATAAGTTAAAAGGTTCTAATATAGTTCTCTTTCCGAAAATGTATGGAGAAAACAAGAATTTGGAATGGTAATGGTTCTTAACAACCCATTATTTGTAAGGTCCGCTTCCAAAAAACCATAATACATAAGGTTGAAACTTTATCATTAAACGTTCATGTAAAGTTCCATAGTAATTATTTTTGCCGTAGTCAAATTTAAACTACTATAAGCGGTTTACTGAAAATTAGCTTATTGAACGGAAGTGAAAAGAACTTAATTTTGGGTAATTTTTCGGTTCCGTGTAGCTTTCTAGTCGAAATTCTAGTACTACACTATGTTTGTTTTGATTCACTACACTGCAACTGGAAAGTACCAATTAATGGGTACAATTTCACCCATTCGAAGTAAAGTAGGTTAACCCATTTAATGGGTAAAAAACCCATTAATGGGTAACTAATACCCATAAAGGAGTAATTGTTACCCATTAGTGCCATTTGCGAACAAAATTGCATCCATTTAAGTAAATAATATTGTATCTGCTTTTTGCTCGGCGGCTTTTTGCTGTAACCTCGGCTATAACATTAATTCAGCTTAAGAGATGAACTAGCCTCAGGCTAAAAATCTCTAAAATAAAGATTTAAAAAAAAAAAAAAAAAAATTAATTCAGCTTGAATTACGCCCTAATAAAATTCTTGTGGTTATTTTGCTCAACGACGTGTTCCGCAGCGGCGCTGGTGGTGTAGTGGTAAGCGTGATTGCCTCTCACCCAGCAGGCCTGGGTTCAATCCCAGTCAACGCCGCCAGGATGTCCTGAGGCATAACATCTCTGATCACGCCTTCCTTTGGAAGGGAAGTAAACCCGTTGGTCCCCGGTTCATGAGTTGATGCGTCGATAAGTAGGGTCCAGGTGTGGGAGCCGAGGTGGGAGCTGCCTCCCTGGCGTCGGTAGCATTGGTGCTCAGCACGGAAAACAAGATCGACGGAAAACAAACCAAAGGAAAAAAAGACGTGTGCCGCACGTAGAGAAATGATTTTAAAATTCAAATAGATATATTTTTGGCTCAGGGCCTAATATATTTTTGGTATTGATTCAAATATATTATTCGGTTAATTAATTATATGATTTGAGTAGTAGCTATACTGAAGGTCCAGGAGATGTCGCCCCTTCAGTGGTAGGAAAATCTTTTTTGCAGTATGGAGAATATCAGAAAATCCACGATTTGTGACTAAACCTGCTTTAACAGAAGAAAACAAATAAACGAGTGTTTACCTTATCACCATAGTAATGTACTCGTGCAATTTTTGTGCATCTAAAACTGCGCATAAAGACGATAATGAATAAAAACTGAAAAATGTCATGCATTTTCAAATGGTTTCCTACCATTCCCATACATACATGGCCCTCTGGATGTGGATGATGTCAAAAACAACAAAACATGATTAAGTCAAAGAAAAATATTTTCGAAACAATAATCTGTTTTTTGATTGAAAAAACCATTTTGTTGATTCGAAAATATGTTTTGTTGAAATAGTGATACAATATGTTTCAACTTATGGTATTTATTTATTAGGGCGTTGATCAATATAATACCTTGTACAGACATACAAAGTACACTGTTGTACCACAAACGAAGTGACAGACGACTAACTGGCGAAGAAATCCATTAAAATAATGTGGTTCACTGTAATAGAATTTTCTTGTAAACTTGTGCCATCATCCACCAGATGGGTTAGTTTTTTTGTTTTGATTTGAACAAAGTTGATTTTGTGTACAATGATTCTTTGACAGTGTGCAAAGAGTGTATCATTTTGTCATTTTTTTATGCATTTCAGTTTTGAGTAGAGTGAAAGAGACAGAACCAAAACATTCTAATACATTTGGTGAAAATGCTAGTACAATCCAGTAGTAGTGTTGCCATGTGGTACAATCCAGTAGTAGTGGTGTTGCCATGTGGTACACTGAAAAATTGAAATAGCAGGTTAGTCACCAAAGTTTTCGAGCCGCTCCGTCTGTCACTTCGTTTGTGGTTGTACTACCGTTGTATTCCTTTAAGCTAGTACCTCAAATTGTACCTTTTGAGGTACTCGATTAAAGGAGTACAACCACAAACGAAGTGACAGACGACTAACTGGCGAAGAAATCCATTAAAATAATGTGGTTCACTGTAATAGAATTTTCTTGTAAACTTGTGCCATCATCCACCAGATGGGTTAGTTTTTTTGTTTTGATTTGAACAAAGTTGATTTTGTGTACAATGATTCTTTGACAGTGTGCAAAGAGTGTATCATTTTGTCATTTTTTTATGCATTTCAGTTTTGAGTAGAGTGAAAGAGACAGAACCAAAACATTCTAATACATTTGGTGAAAATGCTAGTACAATCCAGTAGTAGTGTTGCCATGTGGTACAATCCAGTAGTAGTGGTGTTGCCATGTGGTACACTGAAAAATTGAAATAGCAGGTTAGTCACCAAAGTTTTCGAGCCGCTCCGTCTGTCACTTCGTTTGTGGTACAACGGTACTGCTTTGTATGTCTGTCAATGGTATAACATTTGTTTTTGTTGTTTATGTGAACAGTTTATATGACGACTTAGTTAAGACATTTTTCACTTAACAGTGGGTAAAAAATACCCATTATTGTTCACGGGAACTGATTTTGAAAAAGGGGGAAAAAGTATCCATTATTTAAGATTTCTTTACTCATTTTTTGAGAGCTTCATATACTACACTACCAAAAAATGGGTACTTTTTCAGCCAATAATGGGCACTCGCCACTTACAGTGTAGCGTGCAAAAAAAAGTAATACAAATTTGATGCAGAAGGTTGTTGAATACATTTTTGTTTTACTCTATTTTCCAGAAGTTTTAACAGGATTTATCGGTAAACAAAATTATTTTTGTAAACTTCAAGTGCTTTTAATTATATTTCACGCGTCAATTTCAGAATATGGAGTTTTCTATAACAACTGAAAATTGTAGGATTTGTCTGGAAAACAAACCGGAAAGCAAGCTACTCAGTGATCATTATTCGGCGAAAGATTTGCCTACCACAGCAAAACTGAAATTGCAATGTTACATGGACGTTTACAAATTTGTTGCCGAAATACATGCTGAACCAGCTTCGAAATTAATAACACCACCTTCGACGTCACTGTTTTTCCCTAAACGAATTTGCAATGAATGTGTAGCTCAGCTAAAAGTGGCATTCGTCTTTCGTCGTAAGCTCTTGAAGTCTGAGAAAGTTTTGAAAAATCTCCTTCATTTATATGGCCAACAGGATTTGGAAGAAACTGTAGAACAGGAAATTGAAGTCAAAGAAGAGGACACGATTGATTCCAATGACGAGGTACAGGAGTACGAGTATGTGGATCAAGAACCAGAAGAATATTCGGCTGAAAGTGAATATGAAGAACTGGCTGACAGTTCACCCGTGGCTTGTGATGTTCAAATTAACCTGAATCAAGTTGATTTTAATCGGCAACTGAAAAAAGATAGCATTACTCCTGAAAAATCGATGAGTAGAGGCTCAAATATTGATGTGAACCCAGAAAATAGCAGGGGTAATAGCCCATTGTTTACAGACAAACCCGTTACCAGTCAATGTGAAGATTGTGGAAAAATGATCTCGACAAGATATTTGGCAAAACACAGAGAGAATCACCGAGTAGGAGGCAAGAAAGATAAAAGTTTTGCATGTGACTTGTGTGACCGTCGATATACCCTGAAAGAGAATTTGAACAAACATAAAAGAATCCATTCCAATGATAAAAGGTACACATGTCCCTACTGTGACGAGAAATTTATGCACTGGGCATCTCGTAAATACCATATCATCTGTCGACATACGGGTGAAAAACCGTATGTCTGTGAAATATGTGGTAAAGGTTTCCGCCATTCATCTCAGTACTACACTCATGTTCGACGACATACCGGATTGGCTCCTTATGCATGCGAACTGTGTGATAGAAAGTTTATCACCCTGCAATGCAAGAAAATGCATATGCTGACACACACGGATGCCAAGAATTTCCACTGCGATGTGTGTGGAAAATCCTACAAGTCAAAAAAGTCACTGCGAGTTCATATAAGAACATTACACGATCAAGAAAAGAACTACATTTGTCCTATATGCAATCGAGCGTTCTCTCAGAATCATGTATTGAGGACCCACCTGTTGAAAACCCATCCTGAATATGAACCACCACCGCCGGGGACTATCGTCAGCATTCGGGCAATTGAGCGAATGAAGGAGCAAAGCACAATAACTGCCAATATTTCAAACAACGTCTCACTATGTTAAATTTATGTTGCAGTGTATGTGAAGGAAGCATATTGACAAATATAAACAATTACTTGATCAATTCCTGGCGTAAAATCGTTGATTCTTTCTCGACTGCAAATACCGTGACTTTGATATTTAGCGATGTATACTGATTTTTTATTCTAAATAACTATCGCAAACATTAACACATCGAGTCATTTTTGCTAATGCTATAACAAATTTGATAACTGGTAACACACATGTACAAAATAATATATTGATAGAATAAAAACCACGGATTTAGGACACCGCCGTACTTTTTAGATCCTAAATATACCGTGCTTAATAAAACGGTAGGTTTTACATTCTGAACCAATTAAACAAGGCTCTGGGCAACGTTAGTAACAGAGGTACTGTACATGATACACCCTGTTTGTTGAATACAGGGATGATTCTATTTAAGTGTCACTCTTCAAGTGCGCGGTATTAGGCACAATAATTTGTTTAACCGTTACAATTTTTTATTATTTTATTGGTTGGAAAATTATTGCAAACCGATTTTTTATGGCAAAATGTCTACAGTAAACAATCATATGACGGTTAAAGAAACATAGGGTTGGGTGGGGCAAGAGTTCCACTCCCAATAATTTTTAAAATAAACATATTATCAATACTAACTCACCTATGAAACTATTAATGGTGTTCCAATGCAGCATTATAGAAAGTTCTGTCCAAAATGAAGTACATATTACAAAAATTGCAAAATAAAAAAAAACGTGTTGTGCTGATGTGTCGAAAATCGAAATTAGGATAAAATAAGGATTTTTGAATTTCCAAATATTGTATCGTACAATTGCTGCATTGAGGTATCACTAATAATGATTAATTGGAACACCAATAACAGAGAATAAGTAATTGGTCAAAACTTATCTGTTTAAAAATAAACCTCACACGGGGCAAGAGTACCATCCCTATATTTATTAATAAATTTATACAAAAATGTGATGAAATTGCATAATGCTGCATTTAAGTCTTCGGTAAGCTTGTTTTCACCAAATTTGGCAAAACCAGCTACATACAAAATCAACAACAATAGTTTTCATTCGAATTCCCTGGCCAAGAATGAGGGGATTGACGATGATTTGTCAAGTTTTATATTTTGCATTTACTTTTGTTTTCATTTAAGTTATTTATCAGAATCACGGAAAAAAATATTCATGTAGTTTCTAATGGAAATGCACATAATATTTTTCCATTAACAAAACCAATGCTATCTATCTGAATTTCACATAACATTAATGTGATCACATTAGTTCTATATGATAAATCACTTAAATTTCATTTGACATATAAGGTTCATGTGATTTTGTGGTGCAATTCCCAATTATGATATCCCATGAAAGTTATGTGAAATTCTAATTGATATTTTCCATTGGATATGTGATTTATTCTTTGAATGATAATATTAGCATATAGGGTAAATGTTGGCTTTGGCACCTACGACTATTCTCGGCAACTAATTTTCAAGCGGTAATTGCATAGCAGAACATCTTGTTAGATGTTTTCAAACAATTCCTTGAATAATCAGCTACAAACTGATTACATTTTGATGTCTGCACAAATTTGTCATGCCAGATTTTTACATAACGCAGCTAATTTAGAGGTGCCGATAATAAAACAACCGGTTAACACGTAAATCAAATGGAAAAGCTGCCGAAGAAAAATAAGCTACCAATAATTGTCACACTCACCTGGGAAGTTTGGAGCGTTGTAAAAACGATTATAGACAATTTTGGACAATTCGGTCGATTAGAATACATAAATCATCAGGCAGCAAAAGAATGTAAACAAACAAGGTCTTCAGTTGTGTGCATGAGAACGAGACAATGTAAAAAGAAGCATGCACGCTGCTTAGACTGATGAGAATATGTAAATTCCCCTAATTGTAGTTTAAAACTTGCTTTTGTAAATTTAAGATTATTATTATTATCTCTATTTAGGAGATTTTCAGCCGCAGGCTGGTTCATCTCCGAGAGTAAATTTAAGATAAATACCTAGTTTACCTCAATTGAAACATTGAGTTGTATAAACTTGACGCATACCTCTAACATAGTAGTTCCAACCGGTGGAAACTAACGATTTTAAATTGGTTTATGGATTTTCCTGTGATTCGAGGGGTGCATCGATTAGATTGGGACCGAAGAGTGTACCAGAGCTGAGGCAAACAATTGAGCACGTTTCTTCGGGACCTTCTCTATGGTTAGACTGGCCCACATTTATATGGAGGAAATTTCTTATCATTTTTTTCAACGGGCCAACCCTTAGACTTGTGCCATTAGGTGAGAAAACCACTCTCTGAAAATTTCAGCTCATTAGGATGACGAGCTGGCGCGTTTGATTTAAATTTTTATGGGGATATTGGTTGAAATGTATGGAGTAATAACATTACTTCACTCTTTAGAACTGATTCAGCAAACTCGATTAAGCTCAGAATTTCAGCACACGTAGTTTACACACTTAGATTTTTTCGCCGAGATGGGCACCACCGAGCAGCTCGGCATTTTATTTTGCTGGTTCTCAGTGAAAAACTTGCCGAGATTCAGCTAACAAACGGGAATTTTGCCGAGATCTCAGCTAACAAACATATTTTTTGCTGAATTTCCAGCAAAATAAAATGCTGAGCTGCTCGGTGGTGCCCATCTCGGCAAAAAAATCTAAGTGTGTAAACTATAAGGAACAACTTTGCTGAAGACAGCATCACGATTCAAGTTAGTATTATGGAGATATTAATTAATGATGTGCATTCTGTTCGTATATTGCAACAAAATGTAGGCAGCTTATGCAACGTATTAACTAGATTACCACTAAAAATAAAAGTTCATATTTTCCACAGGCTCGTGTCTTTTGGTTCGATAACCACTCTCTGAATGTGTCAACTCTTTTTTACGTTACACGGGCTGGCGCTTTTGGTTTAATGGTCATATAGGAGGTTTGGTAGTAATTTTCATATACATAATGCTCATATACATTCAAAAGCGGGTATCTCAATAAAACTAACTGGATTCATGATGCAATCTTCAGCAAAGTTGTTACTCATTTATTGAACTACAAGTTTGGAAATCTGAATCAAATCGATAATAAGGAAACTTTTTTATGATCGATAGAGTGTATGAGAGTCATTTTTTCATGTATTTTATCCAAATTCCCCATACAAAATTCAAACTAAAAGCGCCAGCTCGTGTTACATCCGAATGAGCTGAAATTTTCAGCTAGGCACAAAGCTAGTGGTTTGCCCGTGGAAAATTACAACTTTTATTTTTGTGGGCCAGTCTACTGCTCATTCTTTTCATAAACCCATTTTTTTCATAACTGCTCATTCTTTTCATAAACCCTCATTACAAATAATTATCTCATTCTAATAAAAAAAAAAATGATCCCAGACTTAGTCATAGTTTAAAGACAGGAATAAGATAAGTTTGAAGAGCTTGGGGGTTAAGAATTGTTTTAAGAATTAAAGCTAGCACAAAATAATTCTTACCAATAGGAACACTTTCAGCTGAGAAATTGTCTGATTTGTCATACTATATTTCTCCTTCTTTGAAACATAAGCAGTTCTTTCGAGATTCAAAATATGTATCTGAAGCAGGGCTGGCAAATGTCATTTTCAATGAAAGATCTCACGCGATATTTACCGAGATGTTTCTGTCACTATCATTGGATGAGAAAACGATGATAGAGATTTTCTTCAAAATCTCATAGAATTTCTTGTTATGACAGAACGTGACAGTGTTGTAATCATCGTAGCTATTAGTTCATTTAATGCTATAGTTACTTGTACTGAAGAAATTTTAATAATTTATTCACTCACTCTACGCATAAAAATTATTCCCATGAGTGCCTGATCATTGAAAAATGACAAGAAAGCTAATGATAGGTAGTTTCGTCTCGTGATAGTGAAAGGGTTTGTTTTCTCATCGTCACATGACGGCCGTGATATTTATCAGCTCTGATTTGAAGACATTATCTGAACGGAGGGGCTACCCTAGGTCTGAGAGGCAGGATATTTACACCATTGCCAACATTTGGCGTTGTTACGTTGGATGCGTTAGTTGAAGTTTTTGCATTTTTCCGGGTATCACGTATTTTGAGAATTCATAACGTATGAACCAAGTATCGTATAAACAAATTTACATAGTGCATAGCGCTTCTTTTGTTTGTGACAAGAATAGATGAATATATTCATATTATGTGTTCTTATAGAGATTGTTTTGTAGCGTTTGAACTAAAATATCATACCAAACGTATATATATATTTCATGTTTCTGTTCGATATAACGGAAATAGGCACTGTCGAAGTAGTTATCTACCCTAGCAAATGGAAGGGTCCGTTATCTTATTTAGATGTTGCACTGTAAAAAAGTTAATTAGGGCCGTAAAAGCATGCATTTATTTCATGACACACATTAATACACTATTTTATAATTCGAGCTCCCTTCATATGACGCAACACGCTATCTTCAATGCGTTCATAGTTGGACTGATCTGCCCAGCATTAAAAAAAGACGACACACGCAGTGATGCCACATTTTTTCAAAGTTCAATCTGCATTTTCATCGCAAAAAATCTTTTTAATCTGTATCTGGCCGACAGAAATCTGTAGAAAAATCTGTATAATTTCTATATTATGATTTCAGTGCAGATTAACGTAAATCTCCATTAAGCAAATTCATAGTTCAAAAGGAATTTGTTCAATGTTTAGAATCATGAAAAACTACTAAAATTTGCTTTCTAAAGAATTACATTTAAAAATTTTGAATTCCTACAATCTTGATTTTTTGTAGTGTTTTGTCTCTTCTACTGTCTGAAAATACAAAACATTCAGTACCAGTTGCAAGATACAAATCTGTTTCCGACTGAAAATTTCCTAAATGAAGTAACTATCACAATTCCTTAGAATTTGATTTATTTATATCTCAGATTACGCAAACCTTTATCTGGACATTGGACATGCAATATTTTTTATTTCTGTAATCACGCTTTTTAAATTTAAAAATCCAGTTGATTCT